ATATTTATAGACACTAAAATTTTTATTGCAATTACAGGAAAATGACAGTATTAGGCCCATTACGCCAATGCCCGCAGCCGTTATTAAGAGGCGTCTCAGTAGGAAAATTAGTTATGTAATGGGAGCTGCGGGTACAGGCCAACCTTACATACATTATCCGCAACTTAATTTTCACCCAGGTGCCTTCTTTGCTCTCGGCAGTCCGATTGGCATGTTCGTAACGATCCGAGGCATCGACACTCTCGGCGAAAATTTCTTTCTGCCTACTTGTCCGGCTTTCTTCAATATCTTCCATCCGTTTGATCCGGTAGCTTATCGAGTGGAATCCTTAATTAATCCCGAAGCCAGCAATTTCCGACCTATGCTGATACCACATCACAAAGGCAGGAAGAGGATGCATTTAGGTGAGTACAAATTGTTGGTTTCTGAGAATACGCGCGAGATACGGTCTGATAATGATAATTTACAAACTATTAGATTGAATATCTTATGCGGTTATTAATATTAATGATTTACAGAATTAAAGGAAACGATGGCACGTGTCGGAGCGGATTTGAAACAAAAATTAATTGATTCCGTAAGGCAAACGTGGAACTCCTTCTATCAGCTAGCCGTATTTCACAAACCAGACAACCAAGCTCTCGAACGCGAGATCGATAAAGTCGTCGAGGAGCAATTGCAAAAACCGCCGAGCGTACCAGATCAACATAACAACGACGATGGTGGTGCCAATTTAAAAATAGGAATACTTAATGGTGGTCGAAGAATAGATTACGTTCTTCAAGAAGCGCCTTTCGAATACATTAATGAATATCTTTTCGCTCTTACAAGCCATATCTGTTACTGGTAAGTGGTGCACTTCTTGAGAGGGAAACACTATGCATTGTATGCACGCTACGTACTTGTTTACAATTTGATTCGTTTCTACAGGGAGTCTGAAGATACTATGCTTTTGATATTGAAGGAAATATATGGATCTAGAGGTATTCAGACCGACGCGCAACTTCCTCAGCAGTCAATGTCAATTGAGAGAGTATCTCCTTCTCCGTCTTTGAATTTACCGGCTGCCTTGTCACCCAGTGGAAGTCATATAGGAACGTCATCTGTTATGGGCGTAGACCCTACAGTGCCTATATCCAGTAAACCCGTCGGTCCACCACCTAAGACTGGTTTTGTACCGAAATCTTGATCGATGGAATGTTTTTCCCATAATTACATGCCGCGAAATTAAATTGTATTAAAAAAAATTAATTTTATTTTTAATTACTATTTAAAAAAAAGGAATGGAATTAGATTGACATTAAGCCTGACGTTAAAATGAAAAGATGGAATGCAAAAAATCAAATTTTGTATTTTACAGTGTTTTTCCACTCTGTAAATTTTGTCATAAAGCATCACTTAATGATATACAAATATGAAATATTTATTGTACAAAATTGTACAAAATTGGCCTACGTAATCAACTCTTTGGACAAACTTTAGTTTGTAGAAAATCAATTATTAGTATACAGAAGGATGTAAATAATAATTCGAGTTATTCGTACGTTAAAATAATTGGTAATTTTCCATTGCAATTTACGTTTATTTGCATATCTCAGCGCATATTCTTATATATTAATACTTAGGTTGTGTGTAATTGTGATTGTATGATCGAAAACATGTATGGAATGTTGAGAGAAGAAAGATATGGAAATGAGGTATGGAAATGTGCAAATGAAATAACGTGTGTAAATACACAATTTAATCGGATAAAAATATAGTAGATTATATGTACTTTTATAATCTGCTTGAACGAATTATGAACATACCGATTTTGATTTTTATGTACGCGCGTATTTTAATAAATTACCATATTCTTTTACATTACTGTCAATTATTTTTATTCCCTCGCATAATTCGATAAACAGATTTACGATTGTGCTATAAAATATTGTTATTCAATTGATATTAATAGCATTAATTTTTCAAGTTCATGTCAGGTATGTGTATAGCGACACGTGACAGAATTATGGAGAACTTCAACTTCAGTAATCTCGACATCGTGCAGTCAGGCAGTGCCGATATGTTCCTTAAAATGGTGTTACATGTTCAATCGGATCAGCGAATGGCGTCACCTTATCGCGCAAGCAGCTTTAGCGGGGCTAGAAAAAAAAAAGAGAACGCTTCGGCACATGCACGGCTATCACGAAACGCTAATTAATTGCGGTGCAAGCCCACCAGGTTCGAGACTGCTTTGCATTTTGCGTGCAGGCCCTCGTAAAACTACATGCCTGTCAGCCCCGGCGAATTTCAAGATGATTTATCGTCCTCGCAAAACTAAGTTTTTCGCGGTACTTCGTGGCTTCTCGGCGACTCCGAAAGGCACGGCTCCAACGCTTTCGACATGCAACTGCGGCCGGTGTGGGCACGATCCGTAAAGTTGACGTCGCTGATCGACTGCTATTTTATATCCTCACCATCTAGCCCGCGGACTGACTTTGAAATATGTTTCCCTCAAATCTTTCGATGTGGAATTTTCGGTCGGCACGTTTCACGGTGACCCGCATACGTTATAATTGCGGGGAAATTAAGTGCCGGCTTTTACGTGACGGCGTTTAATACGTACGGCTGAACCTGTATTGTCACGCGAATAATCATGCACGAGAAGTCATGTTGTACATCAATCTTTTCGTAATTTTGTCAAATTATAATAAGATTAATAGATATTAAGAATCGAGAAAACTACATAGACATTGGGTAAAGAGCCCATAAGCTTCTTCTTAGTACATTAACATCAATATAATTGAAATCTATAAAGATGCATCTAAATTTTAAAATGTAAAAGTTATTCATATAATTGAATCTATATAAAAATGTACTACTTTTACATGCCAAAGTGTGCCGTAAAAATATCGGTTCAGATATTTTCAGAAGAGTATATTCAGTATTTAAAAGAAAACTTAGTAATTAAAAATTTTAAAAACATGCAGTTTCTTATTGCATCAAATGTGTGATTCTTATTTTTACGAGATATGAAACATCTAAGAAAAATATATTAACATGTGAATATACTCTTTTATATTATAAAGTATTCTTTTTGAGCCTTACATAAAATTTGCTGCGTTAGGAATGGCTGCTCTCGAATATGCTATTTTATTATTTTCGTATACAATGCCATTCAAATCTGGCTGTCCGGCAATTCAATATGCCTTGGTTACTGCACTATGTGTGCATGATGTGCAGCCACGTTTCCCTTTTCAACATGCAAATACTCGTACATCGCGAGACAGACGTTTACGCTCAACGGCGGTAACATAAAGTGGGGTAAGGGTAAGATTTTACAACGGCCCCTAGTAAGGATGATTTACACCTCGGAAAAACTCCACGACGTTTACGATAGCTACTCACGAATTATTTATAGCATCTGGCCATGGCAGGGTGAATTTCACATGTATTTTTCTTCGTTTTCCTGAAGAGATCGTCGAGGTCGTGACGAAGTAGGTATCGTTAAATGTTTCCATTGAAACATTCGGGAGGGTGATACCTACTAAATTAAACGCATAATGGAAAACTTAAGCAAACTGTAGTTGCTAACACATTACAAAAGCTTAGACGGTCTTTTATTTTGTAATATAATTAATCTAAATAAAGTTTATAAATACAAGTTATAAAGTGTTTTATACTTTTTTTTAGTGTAGAAAAACGTTTTTGCTTTTAAGATTACTGTGTTAAGAAGGCCATCACAGTAAAAAAAAAAATAAAATTTATACGATACACTTAGAACTCACATCATTCACTCACGAGTTGATAGTTTTATTTAAAACGTTGCAGTAAAATTTTGGAGAAAATGTTGAATTTTGTTTACCGAAATATGGGCACTCGTAAGTTTATCTTTATTTAGAATATAAGTAGTTTAAAATTAGAATTTGTCGCTTATTCTTCACTTTGGCATACTACTATTTGGCAGTCTGCTAGATCCACGCACGCGCTAAGAGCAATTCCATTATTAGGAGACTTTAGACCTTCTATGCTCTAGTTGGCGTGCATTTAAGTGAAATTAGTCGATTCTAACGTGTAAGTATGCGAGAAGCTGCTGTGTTTAGCGGCTCGTCGCGTGTGAAGCAATTCTCGGGCGTCGATATGCCAGATGATACGCCGAAAACTTTGTGAGTATTACTCCGATCGTTCTTGAGATTATTCAAATAATGCTTATAAGGAAACATAAGAATACAATAAAAAATAAAACACATTCTTCGTGGTATATTTTTTATAAATTTCCGTTTGCATTTACTTTAAGAAATTTTATTTAAGTTACTTAAGAGACGAATTTTTTAAATTAATCTAAAAAGCATTTCTTAAAGCATATTTTTAAACTTTGGAATGCTATACATCTGTTTAATATATGTGTATATATATATCACATAAAATTTATGCAAAAATGCATAATCTATCTCAATCTCTTTTTAATATTTAAATATACATATAATAGTTGTGTTCCGTTATTCACTGCAAGTACTGAAGAACTATAGTATCATAACGTAAACTGTAGATTTTGAGTACTTGCAATGAATAATGGAATGCAGCCAATGTAATTAGTATAATTTTATGTTAAAAATATTTAATATTTCTTTATATTTGTTGAGTTTATGATATTTTTATAATTTTATTTTTGTTTACAGATAATGTAGAACAGATAGTTTAAAATAGAACAATAATGTATAACACAACATAATACACAATACAAATTTTAGGCCGATATTCTACGTGTTCTCCAACTTAAAATGTTATATAGACGATTTGGCCCTTTAATGTTCAGTCTCGTACATCAAGCTTCTCTTCCTGTGATTAAATGAAGAAATATTATGGTCATCCGAGCTTAGTTTATGTATGTCCGTATTGCGGTGCATTTTATTCCGTGATACGTATAACGAGTTAATGGCAACTTTATGCGCGGCTCCGATGACATTTACTACTGCTCTATTCCCGCTCCCGCTTACGTAACAGTCGCCCGTATTATCGTATTGTTTCCTGAAGCACTCTTCATTGTTCTTCCATTACGGAAATCGAGCTCCGGCTACGAGTTTAGAATTTATCGTGCGATACGTATACCGTCGTGCCGCCGTGTATGGTATACATTTCGGAAATTTGGATTTTTGCCTATTTCCGCTCTAATTCGACTGTCGGACATATGGGTTTCTGGCACGTATCCATTCTCCGCTATATTTTCTAGAACAACTCGCCGCTTCGTGACTATGCTACCATCAAGATTTGGCGATCAAATTCGAATTTCAAATTAATCCCGACTAATACTTGGTTTTCCGTCATATCTTATGTTAATGTTGTA